CGCGGCCTCCGGCTGTGCGTCCAGCCCCTCTGAGCCCCACTCTGAGCCCCCAAGCCCCCCAAGCTCCCATCCCCATCCTCCGCGTGGGCCTCCTCCCCGATCCGTGCTGTGGACCCCTCTAGGCCTCCCGCCGCAGAAGGCCCGAGGGACCCTCCCGCGTCGTCCAGCGGCGGCCCCCAGGTGCCCCCCAGCAGTGGTGAGAGCGAACTGTGGGGCGCGCTGATGTGTGCTGTGCGCTCAGATCTGCTCCCGGCCGGCCGGCCGCCGCCCCCGCTGCCTACCTTCCCCCGCCAGGTGTGCCAGCGAGGGACGGCAGGCTGGCGGCAGGTGCCCAGGCCGTGCCCCTGGCCTGGCCTCACAAGCCCCTGTTCTGCAGGAAGTGGGGCCGGAGCTCCCTGCAGCCGCGGAGGTCTTCACTGTAGGGACCAAGGCCTTTACCTGGACACCCTTTCCGCCAGCCCGCGGGGGCCCTGCTGATAGGCCGCGTCCCCGGGGGTCCCCTGCCCCATCCTTGGAAGGACAGCGTGTGCCTGATTCCTGCCCGGCTCCAAGCCCACAGCAGCTGCTGACCCTGCGGAGCTGCCCCCTATGCCAGAAGGAGTTCGCCCCTGAGTGAGTGCTGGCCCCTAAATGACCAGCTTGGGAAGCTGAGGGGCTGCCTGCCACAGGCCTGTGGCACACATGGAAAGCCGGCTCGTGCCGCTGAGGCGAGCGGGACCCTCGCCTGGGAGTCCCAGTGTTCCAGGTGGCTAGGGGTACAGTGTCCCCTGCCTGTCCCCAGCCCTTGCTGGTCACCAGACTGGGTCCCCCTGAAACAGCCACAAGGCCTTTGTACCTTTGGGGGGGGGTTGGGGATGGTTTTTTTCAACTCCAGATGATTCTTAGTTTTTTGAGGTGGGAACGGAACCCAGTTTTACAGAGAAGTTGAGTCCCAGCTGTCCGGTTGGTGGGTCCTGACTCCTGCTCAGTCCATTTTTGGGGGAAGTTACTGGGTTGACCCCCAGGCTTTCACATTGAGCTATATCCTGCTATATCCATCACCAGCTCTTTTTTTTTTTTGGTGGAACCGGGGATTGAACTCAGGCCCTTGTGCTTGTCAGGCAAGTGCTAATTCTACTGAGCTATCTCCCCGGGCCCCATCACTGGCTCTTATTTTGAGGCAGGGTCTCACAAGGGGACATAGTTGCCCAGGCCCGGTGTGCACTTCCCATCCTCCTGCCTCAGCCTCCTAGAGTGCTGGGGTTGCGTGGGTCGGTGTGCGCCAGCACACCAGCTTGGCTGCGTGAAGGAGCCACGACCAGGCCAGTCCTGGGCACAGGTCAGGAGAGCGTGGACATGTGACTTTCAGAATTGGCCAGGGTTCTGTCTGCAGGTTCCAGATGTTGCCTGGCTGGCAGGAGAGCATGTGTCCCTTGTCTCTGGCTTGGAAGCTGAAAGTGCAGGGATGGGTTCCAAAGTTAGCTGCTCGGGACAACAAACAAGGAAAACTAAGCGCAGCACGCTCACCTACTCTCAGGGTGTGCGGATGAGAGGCTGGGTGGGTGTGGTGGCACCCACAGCCCTGGGGATGGCCCCAGGGGACACATGACACTCAGCTTCCCCACGACCTCCCAAGAGTGACAGGGCCACACTCGACAGCCCTGGCGCAGCAGGGGGGCATCGCTGCCCCTGCCCCCCCCACGCCAGCCCTCCTGGCCGGCCGGCCGGAGCTTCTGTCCTGTGCCGTGTGCGTTTCTGGAGAGTCTGTAGGAAAACCCCAGGAGACGTGCGGGATTTGTCAGCAGGTGCACACAGTGGGCTGAGTGCCTCGACTTGTCCGCAAGGGGTCCTGTCTTAGCAAGTCAGGTGCTTTTAGTGGGTCACTGAGCCAGATGGGACGGGGAGGGGACCTACAGGGCCTCAAATTCCGCTGGTGTGGCCATGGTGTGAGGGCGCGGGGGCAAGGCTGTGGCCCATGTACTCAGGGCGCTGTGTGGGCTCGGGGCCCATGGTGGCCCTGTCACGATGCTGGGAGCCACTGGGTACCAGCCTATGCCCTGGGCTTGGCTGCACCAAAGGACAGCTGGAGCCGTGTGCAGTGCAGAGATCAGGCTGAACACAGCTGTTTGTTTATTTCGCAGTAGTGGGGCTTGAATGCAGGGCCTTCACACTGAACTACATCCCTAGCCCTCTTCTGCATGCTTATTTTGAGGCAGGGTCTTCACTGGCTCACTTTCGAGGCTGGGCTGGAACTTCCCACCGTGCTTCAGGCTCAGAGCGGTGGGATTGCAGGCACACTCCACCCAGTGGGCTTTCCCTACAGGCAGGTTCTGGAAGAAGGTCTAAGGGTCACCAGTCTAGGGACACTGACTGGACTCCCTGGCAGGATGGCCCGAGGTCCCCGGCGCCCTGCAGAGGTACATGGAGGCAGGGTTGCCCGGGGGTGAGCAGGTGGCCCCTACGCACTGAGGTCCCCAACTGAGTAGCCCAGCACACTTGCAGCTTGTGTCCGGGGGTGCCACCTGTGCCTGTCAAGGATGGCAGAGAGCACTACTGAGGTCCCTGACTAGGAGGGCAGGAGGAGGGTCATCGGGCCCTGGTCTGAACTTGGGCTGGGAGGCGCCTCCCTGTCGACGCCTGGCAGCTGGCAGGCAACCAGTGCCCGGGCGTCTGCATGGAGAGCGGTCTCTGCTGGCTGGCAGGCACGGGGGGTCCTCAGGACACACGGTGTCTCATCGAGGGTTGGCACTGTGGCATGGACCGGGCCACGGGCTGCCGGGGGCCAACCTGTGGAGCCGCATGGTCTGCCCTGCTCCCACTCTCTGACTATGGCCTAGGGCGGGGACTCCAGGCTGGGGTGGCCACAGATCAGCTGAGGGGGCACAGAGAGGGACTCAGCAGAGTCAAGGGAGTGGAGCTGTGTGGACACTGGGGCCAGGGAGGCAGCCCTGCTGACCACTGCGTGGGTACAGCCTGGTGGCAGGGGCTGTGACCCCAGCAGGACCCTGACTGCCCTTGGGAGGCCCAGGAGGCACCTGTGGTCACCAGCTGCGAGAGTGCTGGGCCACTGCCAAGCTCAGGCTTGGGCCTCTCCTGGACCCCATGCAGTCCTCCCAGGCTCATGAGAAGCCCTGAGCCTGTGGAGCAAATCCTGAGAGCCGGGTGTGGCCCTTTTCGCTGAGAGCGGCCCCTGTGCAGGGCATTTCTCCAGGAGAAGGGCTGCCCGCTGATGTAATACCTGATGGGCAGTGCCTGCCTCACCTGCATGCCTGGCTTGTCCTGGCCAGGAGTCTTGGCCTGCAGCTGACCTTTGGGGTGGAGCCCTGTGACACTCCCCAGGACAGGGGACACCAGTGTGACCTCCCCAGCCACTCCAGGGCAACTTCTCACCAAGTGCCATATCTGCTTGTCTTGCAGGATGGCCCAGCTGGATGTGGACAGCCACCTCGCACAGTGCCTGGCCGAGAGCACGGAAGACGTGGAATGGTAGCTGCTGGGGGCAGCGTGGGGACCCAGTGCCCTGCCCAACCCTTGTCTCCAGGCCTGCACATTAAATTGGGCTCTCACCAGTGAGACCAGGGTGTTGGTTTTTATTTTCTGACATAGGTGTCAGGGTAGAGGCCTGTACTGATCATGATAAAAACATAAAACAGCGCCCCCATACTCCACTCCCCCGGGGGGGGGCAGAGCCCTTTCATTGTCAGCTGGGGCCTTGTTACCCAGGCTACCCCTTTGTAGGTAAGGCTGTTGTTCCAGGCAACCTCACATGGTGGTCTCGGGCAGTCCTGGGATTGAATGCAATGCCCTTGCACTGAGCCACATTCCCAACTCCTTTTAAGTTATTTTGTCTGGAGACAGGGTCTTTTTTTTTTTTTTTTAAATAATTTTATTTATTTATTTATTGTGTGTGTGTATGTGTGTGGCCAGCTCAGCCCACCAGGGGGCGGGGCTGGCTGGCATGTGGTGCTGGGGGATTGAACCGCGGTCCCTGTGCTTTTCCAAGCTTGTTCCGAGTAGGTGCTTTAGACCACTGAGCCATCTCTCCAGCCCTGGAGACAGGGTCTTACAAAGCTACTAAGTTGTCCCCACTGGACTCTAACTTGAGGCCTCCTGCCTTGTGCCCTGCTGTAGCTTCTCCTTAGTGGGAAATCTGGAGAGGGGCCTGGCCTGGCCTCTGTGCTGTCATGCCTGTGGCGCGTGGGAACAGGGTGACTTGTGCCGTCTTCTTGCCGTTCACCACAGCTGGTGCCAGCTTGGGCCCAGCTTCTTGGCTGTGGCAACCCTGGGCACCCCCAGGCATGGTGCAAAGGCTCAGGACCCTGGAGACTTGCACTGTCCTCCCAAGGGACATGCAGGACTGGGGGCTGAGTGCCCGCCCCTGTGAAGAGTCTGTCACCCCAGTCCTATGTGCACACACCAGAGGGTCCTGGGCACGCATCTCTGGTGCAGGCATGTGGGCAGGGTTCAATACCAGGGCCTCAGGCAGAAGCAGGATGCAGGGGCTCCCACCCACCTCTGGCCCTAAGCTCTCCAGGGACACCCGAAGTCACGCTGTCCCTGGTTTTCTGAAATTCCTTATATTGACACCAGAAATTACCTCCCCCAAGCCCACACCCTCCTGGAAGAGGCCAATTGGGCACAGGAGGAAGGTGGGGCTGGAGCACAGGGTTTCTGGGGTGGTGGGCCAGAGCACGAGCCACATATCACAGGATGCCACACTGCCACCAGCGGCCATGGGAGTGACAGCTGAGCGTGTGTGGTGGGCACTACAGGGGACCTGGACCTCCAAGTTGCTGGTAAATCTAGCCTAAAAAATGAAGTCTGAGAAAATGGCTTTAAAAACTGCTTCCCTGAAATACCTGCTTTTAACAAAAATAGTAACAACTTCAGCATTTTTGTTAAAGTCTTTAATAGATATGCAAGAGTAGGAAGGACCTCGGCGTGGAGGGTGACAACATCATCCACAGCGGGAAACCGGCCCGCCACGGGCTCCGCTTGTGCCCACAGACAGCCGTGGGCACCGCTTTACAGGCATGGGGGCACCAGCGTCAGGAGCCACGTCCACAGCCACGCACGGCCGCGCCGGAGCCATTGCAAGCTTAGGGCTTTTCCCAAGCACACACCAATATATCTTGCCTTTCTTTAATTTATAAAACAATTTGCTGTGTATAAAAATCTCCCCTTCTGGTGAGCACATGATATTCACACTTCTGTACTGCCCAACTGGCAACCACAAGCTATTTGGCAACACGGCAGTATTTAAATAAAAGCCTCCAGCCCTGAGGAACCCAGGGCTGTGGCAGCAGAGCCCGTGGCAAGGGTTCCTGGGGTCTCCTCTGCATCTGGGCAGCAGTGACCACCTGGGGGGCCCCGCGCTGGCCGTGGGGCTCTGTATCTCCCAACTTCAGCCTCTGGTGGGGTTGCTGGCTGAGACGCGTCCACGAGCAGAGGAAGAGGGGCACCCAGGGGCAGGGCGCCCCAACCTGTGCCACTGCCACGCAGCGCTGGGGGTGTCCAGCACGCAGCTTCGTGTCCCAGCACCTTGGGCCTAGTGCGTGCAGCCCAGCCGCGAGGGGGCGAGACCTGAGTGTGGAGCGGAGGGCTGTCTGCGGGTGGCAGGGTTTGCAGGGCAGGGCCAGCGTCGCCTCTTTCCTTTCCTAACATATCCTCTGCAGCCCACCAGCCCTGTGTGGGACGGGGTTCGGGCATGCGAGCTCGCTGCCCAGCCGTGAAGGGCTTGGCTGAGCCCTCTAGAATGCTGCCCTCCCGGAGAGTAGGGTGGGGGCTGTGCTCCACGGGACACGGTGGTCACAGGTGTTCTGGGCATATGGTCAACGTTAAGGCTAGGGTCCGTCACACATGTATCTTTAAATTTTCTAACTCTGAGAACCGTATACTGATAAAAATAATTCTCCAAAAATCAAATACAGAACACAAGACACCCTGGAGGCACGAGTTCGTGTTCTCGGAAATACACTGTGCACAACTCATTCTCAATTTTGTTTTCCTTTTGTCGTTGTTTTGCTTTTTGGTCTACTGATGCTTTGGTGGCATGTTCTAGAATCTGCGATCCAGTGGTTCTCGTCGCAGTCCATGGGGCTGCAGACAGCGCCCAGCGTGGGCCGGCCCGGCCACACGGCCTCAGCTCTGCGTGGCTGAGCGCGCTAAGAACTGGAGATGAGAACTTACCGGGACAGGAGACCTCCGAACCTGAAAAGCCCTCTTCTGGGTGTGACCCCCCTGCCCTGCCGGCCCACCGCAGGCTCAGCTCTCCTCGGTGCGGCTGCACCCGGGACTCGGGCAGGTGCCACTCAGAAAAAAGGCATCAGAGGGAAGCTGCGACACCATCGGCACATTTTATTCCTCGGGACATTACACGCTCACTTCCCTGGAGGAGCGGTCAGCGCACTGAGCCCTGCTTCTGCCACAATGCGCACCTCTGGCGGCCGACAGTCTCCCCCAGGTGCAGGGTCACCACGGCCCCGGCGCGGCACGGGCACAAGAAACCATCTGTTCCTCCAGCGGAGCTGGCCTCCGAGGGCACAGGTGCCAGAGGCTGTTCTGTCCCTCTGCGTGTCGGCGGCCACGTCCCTGCCTGGCTGCGCGGAGCCTCGTGCCCGGCCTCGCATGCATATGCTGTGGTTAAGGATAAAGTTACAGGGTCATTCACGGGTGTGTCCAGGACAGAGACGCACGCGACCTCACACGGACTCCTCGGTGGACAGCAGAAGCGGGTTGATGTACTCGAAGCCCTCGAACTCTGACTGGTCAATCCTCTTTATGACATCCCTGGAAGCAGAGTGGGCAGTGGTGGCTGTGTGCACACACTGGCAGGCAGGGCCCACCAGCCTGTGGGGGTGGGCACTGCGCGCGCGCGCGTGCCGGCAGGCTCCCCACCTGTGGCCAGGGCGGCTCCCAGCCCAGGGGCACTCACTCATCATCTGGGGTCAGCTGCACGGGCTCGCTGGTGAACTGCGTGTCGAAGTTGTCCAGGCCGTAGTCATCTGTGATCTGCGGCTGGAAGGGAGGCAGGGCCTGCTTCTTCTCCAGCTGGGGAAACCGAGGCAGCAGAGCTGTCAGAGCGGGCCGGGTGCAGCTGCCAGCACCTCGAGTACTGCACACAGAGCGGTGAGCGACAGCCTTCTGGCGTCTTATAGCAGAGACGCCTGTGCCGGGGGACTGGGATTGAGCCAGGGGCGTGGGTGGCGCAGGCTGCACCTGGGACACAGCTGGAGACCGCTGGACACACGGACCCTGCAGCCAGGTCTGCATCCCGTCTGCCGCAGAACCGGCAGCCTAGGCTGGTGGGGTCATTCTCTTCTCAGTGACTCAGAACCCAGGCGTGAAGGTGCTGTGGAGACCCTCCTGCCCTGCAGCAGACCCAGGAGGACAGGCAGGCCACGTGGGCAGGGGAGGGCCTGGCACGGGTGCACGTGGCACTGTACATCTGCACAAGGACATGAGGGCCCACCTGAGGGGCCCCCAGGTGGGCACTGCCGCTGCCTCTCCTGCCCTCCCAACCGAGGCACTCTTCCATGGGGCCACCTGCTTTGAGACAGGGTCTTCCTATGTAGCCCAGGCTGACCTCTGTGATCTTCTGCCTCAGCCTCCCAAGTGCTGGGATGACAATCGTGTGCGCTGAGCCCAGCACGTTGCTGTCCCGAAGCACCCCATCAGCCCTCTGCTGTGGCAGCAGGAGCTGCCTCACACGCCCTCACTCGCACGCACAGGCGTGCACTCCTCTCTCCCACTCATGCTCCTGTGTGGGCCCGGCTCGCTGCTGGAGCAGACTGCTGTCCTCTGTGGACCCTGTTCCCGCCCTGCTGACTGGCCATGTGGGGTCTGGAGTGGGACCACACACGGGGCAGCCCAGGATGCGGACTACACGGGCCACTGGCAGGACTGTTCTCCCTGCTCGGGCATGGCGGGGCCAACGCAAGGGGCAGAAACCACACTGGGAGGAAAATGTGGACTTGGGAACTCGTTCAGTGACCGAGTCCTGCTGAGAGGGCAACACAGAAAACCATGACGCCACGGAAAGGGCAGCTCCTTTGAGTGCACGCAGGACACTGCCGGGGGCAGACACCTCAGGTGGTCACCTCCAGGCCCATGGGGGGCTGCAGGACACACGATGTCCCTTCCTTCACGCAGGACCCGTTTTAGGCATCAGTATATTTTCTGATAAAAAGTGATGGAAGCTTTTCTTATTTCCTTTCTTATAAAGATTCACATAAAAGAGCTGGAGCAGAGCATGCTGCAGCAGGACCAAGTCCCGCGCAGTCTGAACTGAACGCCACAGCCTGAGTCTGCTCTGGGGCGCCCATGCTGCCTCTGCCCACCAGGCCAGGCCCGAGCGCTCTCTGTGGAGCCTGACAGGTGCCAGGAGCCCCCACCACAGTGGTGGGTGACGGGCGGGGGGGCACTGTGTGTGCTGAGGACCACAGGACCTATGCTCAGCGCCTGTCTTGCCCAGCTCACCAGAGGTCTTGGGCCCGTGGGAGGGGCACCCTGCTCCCCCCGCACCAGCTCCTCCTGTCCCTGCAGCACCCCGCTCTGGGCCACCTCTGCCACATCTTGTCCACACTGAGTCTACAGCTGGTCACAGGCATGCTCCTGTCCCTAGGAACCCAACCCATGGGAGATGGGCCAGAGACCCAGAGGCACCAGAGAGTGGACACCTGGGTGTCCCTCCTTGTGGGGCGCTGGGGCCCACACCACGCAGGGACGCTGAGGCCAGTGCAGAGGTGAGGTAGGGTCTGGGTGAGGTGCCCCGCTCCCTCTCAGCCCCGTCCCTGGCTGCTCACTCCCCACTCCTTCCTCAGCCACCTAGGCCACACACTGGGCCCTTGGGGACAGTCTCACAGCTGCATCTTCCTGGGCAGCCCCAAGGCCCAGGCCCTAGAGAAAGGAGATGTGCAGTCAGCAGGTGTCCATGACACAACAGGTGCCACAAGGCCCTGATACCAACTGAGGCACAAAGGGGCCTTGAAGGGGCCACCTGGCCTGGACAGGTTGGCATGGGAGGCACTGAGCCTGTGAGTGGGCAAGGGTCTCCCTGGGGGCAGTGGAAACACTGGTGAGTGGGCTGCCTGGCCATGCTGCTGGCCACGTACCACTGGCCACTGTGTCCCCATGGGCCATGGAGACCACCCTGCCTTGGGCCCAGGTCTGAGGAGCCCAGGACCTGGGGGACTCAGCCCTTCATGCCCGAAGGTGGGGCACAAGTGTGGCAGCTGAAGTCGGGGAGGCAGTGAGAGGGCTGGGATCACAGCTCAGTCACTGTACATCACCACCACACGGCGCAGCAAAGCACCAGAGTTCTGTGCTCTGAGGAGAGGGCATGGGCTGCACAGTACCGGGCCAGAGCCTGGCCCACGCAGCAGGGCCCAAGGCCAGCTGCCCTTCCCAGCCCCGGGGCCTACACGTGTGGAAGGAGCCCTGGAGCAGAAGCTGCCTGCACACCTCCACTGGGAGCAGCTGCTGCAGCCTGGGCGCTCACTGCGTGGGGACAGGGGCCCAGTGTGGACTTAGAATCTTATTTATAGGCTGTACCCCAGTAACCTTGTTTTCTAAAACCACGTCAAATTTGAACTTCCCTGGGGCTGGTGGGATGGCTCAGTGGTCTAAGGCACCTACTTAGAACAAGTAAAGCACAGGGACCACGGTTCAATCCCCCAGCACCACATGCCAGCCAGCCCCGCCCCCTGGTGGGCTGAGCTGGCCACACACACATACACACAAAAATAAATAAATAAAATTAAGAAAAAATTAATTTCCTTAAAAAAAAAAAAAAAAAATTTGAACTTCCCACTCCTGCTCTGATGGAGACCAAGCCTCCTCCCAGGCGGCAAGTCCCCTGCACAGCCCCGGCCCCTGCGTGTGCACCGCCCCAGCCCCTGCGTGGGCTTACCAGGTCCCAGTCTATGCTGCGGAAGAAGGCATGCGACTTGATGTCAGAGAAGCCGGTCTGGGGCCGGCAGCCAAGCCGTTCTTTGGGGTCCTGGGGATCAGAGGCCCAGATTCAGCCGGCCCGCTCCCTCCTACAGCAGGGCCTTCTCCCCAGCCACTGCTTGCCCGCTCACCCTACCCCCCTCCGTTTTACTTGGCTGCATAGCAATGGAAGCGGAGCGAGCGTAATACTGAGCGGAAACCACAATCCTTGCGCAAACCGAGAGCCACTGTTGAGGGACACGAGTCAGCGTGGCGAGGGTACCTTGTTCAGAAATCCTTTCAGGACATGTGAGGCTTTCACCGACAGGAAGCGAGGGATGCGGATGGGCTTTTCCAGGATCACTGCAAGCGGAGAGAGGAAGGCTTCCGCGCGCTCTCCATGCCCACGGCCACCAGAGGGCGCCCATGGACAGCACAGTCCCCATCCCCACCCCCTTCCAGGCTTGTTTCTGGTGCTGGGGATTGTTCAACCCAGGGCCCCAGCCCTGCCCTGAGATCCATAGCCCTTCTCTTACTCTCTGAGTCTCACTCAACTACTGAAATGCCCAGGCTGGGATTCCACTTGTGATCTTCTTGCCTCAACCACTGTGCCTGACTACTGGGCAGGTATCCCGTGGCTGGGCCCTGCCAAGAGCCCAGGGTGCCACGGTGTTCTGGGTGTGGCTGGCTGGCACAGGTGACCACGCTGTGCAGGTCACCCCAGGTATGAACTGCGCTGACTATGCTACCCCACCCACTCAGTGGCCCCCAGAAGGGCCCGTGCCCCTACAGCCACGCACCTTGGAACAGGTAGTCCTCCGTGTTCATATCAGGGTTGTCGGTGATGATGTCGAAGGGTGAGCGCCCGGCCATCATCTCGAACATGAGCACGCCCAGTGCCCACCAGTCCACGCTGAACCCTGGGCACAGCAGGCGCTGTCAGGCCGGCGGGCAGCCGGCCCCACCTGGCCACTGGAGCATGCCATCCCGTGAGCAGTGTCGGTGTCCAGCCCAAGTGGGTGTCCCTGGCTGTCACCTGGCCCTCCAGTGGCGTCACCGACCCCGTGCATGCAAAACCCACTGTAGCTCTTTCTTGCTGGCCTGCACTCGCAAAGCTTCCTCGCACGCGCCCAACGCTGTCCCGTTTCCTAATGCTCACTCTGTCTGGGACACTCACAGCTTGCAGGGGCTTCCCTGGCCATGGATCTGCTGACCAACCTCTGCTGGGTACCCACAGGGCTTCCCGGGAGCCCCATCACCTTCGGGACAGAGACCTGCCCACCAACCTGTCCTCCCCGCCTTAGGGCAAGGAAAGCATGTGAACACGTGCAGGAGCACTTCACACACCTTCCCGGGAACAGGACGTGCACACGCGTGCACAGCAGGCCATGTACACAGCACACAAACATGTGTGGCGGCACACACAAGCTGTGTGTCTGCTGTGGGTTCCCACCAGGGAGGATGCGGGCACAGGTGCACGCAGATGTGTGGGCTGCATGGCAGACAGGGCGTCAGGTCCAGACAGAGGCCCTCGTGACGCCTGCGTCACCTGCGGCCACATGGGCTGCACCCCCTGCTGGGGGTGCCGAGTGGGTCCTGTCGGTCTGCTCTATGGCCCCCTAGGGCTCTGTGATGAGGAACCTCCAGGGAACACAAGGAGTCTGCAGAGATGTGGGTGGGGGCTGGCGACAGCAGCCGAGCGTGACAGGAGTGCAGGCACTCACGGGGGTGTGGCGGCCAGGGGCACCTCTCCCCTTGGCCTTGCTCTGGGCCCAGAGGGTCAGGCCCAGACAGCATTGCCAGGGTGGGAAGGCCCTGCCCACACCCCCCTCACTCACCATACTCCTCTCCTCGCAGGATTTCAGGGGCGATGTAGTTTGGGGTTCCACAGAAAGTGCTTGTTGTGTCACCAGGCCCCAGGCCTTCCTGTGGGGACAGTTACCCGGGGTCACTGTGGCAGGTGGGGCGGGTGGGCAGGTGGGCGGGTGGCGGGCCCCACCTTGCACATGCCGTAGTCGGTCAGCTTGATGTGCCCATCGGCGTCCAGTAGCACGTTGTCCAGCTTCAGGTCCCGGTAGATGATGCCTCTCTCGTGCAGGAAGTTGAGTGCGATGCAGATCTCGGCAGCGTAGAACCTGGGCGGGGACAGCCGGGGCCGGTCAGCAGGGGCAGCGGGACCAGGCCACCTCCCTCCATGTCCATGCCACTGCGTTCGCCCTGTGGGGCCGAGCTGTGAGCTGGCTGGCTGAACAGACAATCCTCAGGGAGCTCAGTCCTGCATGCACAAGGTACCCTTCGCAGCCACCATGAGAGGGCCAGGAAATAATGGGCACAAAGGCGGCAAGGCCCTGGCCCGCGCCAACTAGAGGGACGGGAACCAGCAGGTGGGGTCCTTGGGGAGGCACGACAGCTGCAGGGGACTCATGACCCCATTCTGCGCCTGCACCCAGAGGGGACAGCAGGGCCTCCGGTCGGAGCCGCACACAGCATTCGCTCCCGAGCACGGAATGAGGTGGATGAAGACAAGAGGCGCCCGTGCCACGGGCCGCTGCTCAAGCTCTCAGGGAGGAGCTGCTGGTGCGTGGCACAGCGTGGAGAGGCCATGCAGACCTGTGCAGGACAAAAACCAAGCACAGAAAGAGGAGGGCCTTGGGGCGTCAGGTCCCCCGAGACAGCGGGGCAGAGAGGGGCCAGGTGTAATGGGACTATCTCCAATTGGTTTTTATTTTTCTTTGAGACAGGGTCTAGCTTTGTAGTTCTTTTACGTTTTTTTTTTTTTTGCGGAACTGAGGATTGAACTCAGGCCCCTGTGCTTGCCAGGCAAGCGCTTATTCCACTGAGCCATCTCCCCGGCCCCTAGCTTTGTAGTTCTGTCTGGCCTTGACTCTTGGCAATTCTCCTGCCTCAGCCTCCAAGTGCTAGGATTACACGTATGCACCACCACACCTAGCTTTGCTTTGGTTTTGACTTTTTTGGGGGCAGGGTAATACTGGAGATTGAACCTGGGGGCACTAAACCACTGAGCTATATCCCGTTCTCTTGATTTTTGAGACGGGGTCTCACTCCATTTGCCAGGGTAGGCAAGTGAGTTTGTGACCCTCCTGCCTCAGTCCTTTGCGCTCTCGAGATTCCAGATGTGCACCAGCACGCAGCAGGTCTCCACGCGGAAGAGGAAGAGCTGCCGGCAAGGTGTACGAACCTCCGCACGCAGAGCTGGCTGGCACAGTGCGAGTGCGCTCTGGGGATCTTACCGGAGCATTTAAAAAAAGCAGCGAGTAGGCTACGTGCCACTCCTGGCTTCTCCTACCCTCCCTGGAAAGGGTCTGAGGTGACTCACGGCTGCATGGGGCATAGGAAGGAGTGGAGAACAGCTCAGGAGGGCAGATGTACCACAGCAGCGGAAGGGACGAAACCCCGATGGTGCTGCCACGTGAACAATGACGCAGAACCATGGCTCGGGGGGGCACACCTGGGTGGGGCCTGCAGGCCTGTCCTCAGCCCTCACGGCTGCCACCCCACGGGGCGGCCGTGCTCCTCGCCATTTATCCGCCTTCCCATCAACGCACTGTCCCCACATGAGGGCTCATGCCGGCCTGCCCTGAGGCCCGAGGCCCAGCTGCCCCCACCCCTGCCCACTGGCACCCCATGGGCCCTTGGCAGTGCCCACCTGGCGTGCTCCTCCGGAAGCTTCCTCTGCCTCTGCATGTGGAACATGAGGTCCCCGCCGTTGACGTACTCAATGACCAGGAATAGCCTGAGGAGGTGGGGTTGGAGCCCAAGTCACCACAGACCCCGGCCCTGTCGCGCATGGGCTCAGGTCAGCAGCAGGATCTCTGGGCAGTGCTGCACACAGGCTCTGCAGTGGCCGCTAGGTGTCTTGAGGTGTAGAGGGCAGGGGGCCTGGACAGCCAGATCCTGGAGGCTCGAGGACCTCATACGGTGACACTGTGTGCTGGAGACCGACACACCCTCCAGGTGCTCAAAGCCCCAACATGAGGAGAAAGCGCCGTGTGGCACTGCTGGCCCGGGGCTGAGCCCTCGCAGGGAGAGTGGCAGAGGCCCAACAGCGACCGCAAGAGCCCTACCCTGGAGAACCCATCCACGAGCTTTAGAGAAACAAAACTTTGAAGTCCAGAGACTTCAAAGCACAAGGCCGACATGTTCTCCACCTACTGAGAAATACGCTGAATTGCAAAACATATTACAAAGTACACAGTGAGTGCTCAAAACTTCACCGCAGGAGAAGACACTGCCACGAAGCCCTCCACACGTTCTCGCTTGCCTCCAGCACTCACCCCTCACCCTCGCCACTTTCTGAAGCAGCTCTGGGGTCCTCTTTCCTGAGGGTCTCATGAGGTGACTCTGATGCTGCACTCCACAGTGAGGGGCTGGGAAGGACACGGGCTGTGTCCTGCCACCTTAGCCCCTGGGTCTGGCCCCCTGACTTCTGGCTCTCCTGGAAGCCGGGGGACCATCAAAGGTCCATGCTCTGAGCACACCAAGGACACCAAGACAGCACAACCAGAGACCCAACAGGGGACCGGGGGAGCAGGGCATGCCCACCACCCCAGTGCCTGAGGGGCTGAGACCAGGGGCTGCTGACAGCCTGAGACCAGCCTCGTCAGCAGGGAGACCCTGTCTCAAAACGGCACAAAACACCAACCAACCAGAAAGGCAAGACAAGCACCCCCTGAGAGGACCCCACAACTGCTTCAGAAAGCGGCATGACTCAAGGTGTCCCAAGCAAGTGGCATTAATGAGTGTTTCCTTCACCATAAAAAGGGCTGGGGATGCAGCTCCGTGGCATAAGAGCCTGCCTGGCAAGCACAAGGTCCTGAGGTCAATCCCTAATACCGGAAAAAAAAAAAACCTGTCACAAGGTAAACAGATTACCTTTACCATAATAAAACACTAATGGGCCGGCCAGACAGCTCAGCAGACTAAAGCGCCTGCTTAGGCAGAGCCCATCTCAGTCTGGTTCGACCCCTGGCATGCCGTGCGGGCCCCGCCCCAGGCGTGGCGGCGCAGGCCGGTAACCTCAGCACTTGGGAGGCTGAAAACAGGAGGATCACTGCGAGCCCAATCTACATAGTGAGACCCTGTACTAAATACAAAAAATAAAAAATTATTTTTTTGCAGAAAAAAATTGAACTCAGGCCCTTGTGCTTGCCAGGCAAGCACTTAATTCTAAGCCATCTCCCCAGCCCTAAAAAAAAAAAAAAAAACAACAAACCACTCATCGCTGACCCCACAGAACAGCAGTCCAGTCCTGGCCTGGCTGCCTGAGAAACGGACCACTGAGGGACTGGAGGGCGGGGGCCTAAGCAAACTCAAGGTGATGTGTGTGGGAAGCCCAGAGGCAGGAACTGCGTCTCATCCCGTGCTGTGGCCTCAAGGAGCAGCCGGGCGCAGACCCACTCCGGCCAGCCTGGCTGGGGAAGAAGCCGGAGGCGTCACCCTGCCCAGCCCGGCCCGGCCCTTTCTGCACCACTGTGGGGTGAAGACTCCTGAGGCGGAGGCCAGTTTCCTAGGCTCTCTGGGCTACACAAGTTGCTTTCAAGTCCACGCGGACAGACAGAGGTTAAGAAACAAAACGAGGAAGCAGAAGCAACAGGGTGGGCCCTGCCGAGCTCAGGGCAGTGAGGTCTTGTCTGTCTGCGCCGCCACCTGAGGGCAACACCCGGGGGCCTTGGGTCCGAGTCCAAGCCCCGGGCCAAGCAGGGCTCGGCAACACATTCCTGCCATCCCAGGGCCCCAGGAGGCAGAGGGTGGCAAGTTCAAACCCAGCCTAGCAACGTGGAAATGGAGACTCGGTTTCAAAATCAGCTTAAGAGGGGGGATGCAGCTCAGCATGAAGGCCCAGCTCACCCAGCCCCGTCCTCGCCTCGGGACCTGTACACGTGTAAGCTGGGCAGGGAGCGGTCAGGAGCCGGCAGCCTGCGGGCGCGGGGCGCAGCTGAGGAGAGCGGGCACCTTGGCACTCAGGAGGGAAGAAAGAAACCCTTATGTGCCCCACTCAAAGGCCCTTTATGGGCGCCGAGCTCATGTGCAAAGTGCTGCTTCCTTGAGCAGATTTCCACTCATGCTGCCAGTCATCATCCTGCCCAAGCAGGTCGGATCCCTGCAGGGCAGTGGCCACGTGGTGCCCCAGAGTGGCGTGGAGGGGCAACCAAGGCAGGACGTGAGGTGCACGAAGCCTCGGCTGCTAGGGCCGCCCACCCCTCCCGCGCCGCTGGCGCCATCTGCACGCTGTCCTGCCCGCTCCGGGCCTCCAGCCATGGATGCCTGAGGTCTGCAGGCTTCCCATGTTCTGTGGCACTCAGGCTGAGGCTGGTCTATTCAGGGGCGTGGCCTGACTCCAAGGAAGGTCTTCCTGCAGTAGAGCTCACACTGCTGTGTCATGGCCCACAGCTGCCAGCTTCTGGAGGACCTCGATGGGAGTGACACTGGGGGCAGCAGCCGCTCGGATGGGCCCCAGCCTTGCTTCCTGGCTGCCGCCCAGAGCTGGGGCACAGTGCTGAGCAGGTCCTCCCAGTGCCCCTCAGGCCCTGGTGGGGGGACACGGATGCCTGTCATGGCAGGACGCATCCCCCACCCCAAGCCAGCTGCCAGTGTGCCCAGGGCACCCCCGGCAGCCAGCACCCGAGCAGGACTCAAGTCTTCTCTGGGCAGCGGCCAGCCTCTCCCACTTCTGACAGGAGTAAGTCATGTTCTCTGATCACAGTTGTACCAGGAATGTGGATTTCTGCCTCACGTGTTTCCATTTAATTCCACTGCTGCCCCCAGAGCCGGCGGCCACCTCCATTAAGAAGAAACATGGGAAGAGCCTAGGAGAGGGGTGTGTGTGCACTTCTGGCCACCAAGGGCCCCTTGTGCAGTATCTGCACTTGAGCAACCGGAGGAAGTGGGCAGGAAGAGCTGGCTCTTTCCAGGCCTTGTGCTGGTCTGGCACAAGTGGGGACAGCAGAGTGGCAGCTCCAGGAAGGAGAGGAGTGAGGGACGGATTCTGTCAGAGAAGGGCAGTGGGGCCCCAGGTAGAGGCGGCTGGGCCTGGGCACAGTGTCCTTGTCCACACCATGGGATCAGTGGGGAGTGAGCCAGAGCGCACACAGGTGACCTCAGCCAAGTAGACGTCCTGCACAGCGTGGAACCAGGGCCTGGGCGCCTGGCAGGAGATGGAGGTGGAGCAGTCGGTGAGAGCCGAGGAGGCCTCAGCAGATTCCTGGTCCCGAGCTAGCAGTGCAGCAGGGGTCAGGGTGGGCAGGCAGTTCCCACACTGCTGTGGCTGACAGCGGCCATGAGCCCTGGGCAGGTGCATGGGGTTGGACACCAGACCCCGGAACCCCTGCTCAGAGAGGCCTGCAGGCCAGGCCAGCCCCGACAGTGTCCAGGACAGGGAGTGGCTCGGAGTTCCTTATTGCTTGTGAAGTGTCTGCGTGTGTAAGTGAAGTATTTTCTACGTAGGCGTGGCTTCACTGTGCCTAGAGGTGAGCACGCCTGATGGCTCACGTGCCTGGCGCTGCGGGACACCAGGCAGAGGGCGAGCAGTGCTCCCAGTGTTTGAGAGGGTGCTTCCGGAAGAGCGCAGCACTTGGACGCACGGCCTAAGCAAAGCAGAGGCTTCCCCAGTGTAGATGGACACCGTGCACCTGGCCAGATGGGCACCAAGGGGCAGAGGAGGCCGGCCCACCCTGTGGCTGCGCAGGGCTGCCCGCCCTGTCCCCAGCCCTAGCTCACTCCCCTCTGGCCACACCCCAGGCTCTGGCCTCCAGCTTGTGGGTGGAGGGACATCTCTGTCCCTCAGCCCCCAGTGCCATCCCCATACCCAGTGCTCTGCTGGACACATGCAGGGAGCCCTGCCACCACCAGGGCCCAGAGAACCCTGGGGCTCTGTGTGCGCTAGGCAGAGCAGCCTGGGTGGCAACCCCAACAGGAACCCTGAGCCAGAGGCAGGGGGACTCTCAGAAGCGCACCCCCCACCCTTTCCTTCTGCCAACTCCCCGGCCCTGCTTCTGTGGGGTGCAGCCACAGGTAGCGGGTGCACTGGGTGTGTCCTGCTGGAGTCCTGCACATGGCGCGGTCTCGCGGCCTCTGTGGAGAACACAGCTGGCAATTTTTTAAATAAACCAAGTGGTGGGCACCATCCAGATGGCCCTCCGCACTCTACAGGCGCGATCACTTACAATTCCAGACTGTGGGTCTCCGGCATCCTTAAAGCACAGTGCCAGCATCCACAGAGCTCTTGGTAAATACTCCAACATTTCCTGCCCTGCGCTCACCCCGCCCCGCAGGCCTGCACTTGGTGGGAAGCTTTCTACAAATGGCTCATAATTTACATAATTGAATAATTAATTTATAACGTGACTGAAGAATTTAAGTTCAGAAGCGTGACATTACATAGCAAGACACCCGCTGACCAGAGCCCCAGGCAGCGCATCTGGCAACCTGAAATCAGCATGCCTACCCCGGAGGCCCTGGGGTGCGGCGGACCTCGGGGCTCGGCGGCTCGCGGCCTTCTGCCACCTTCTCTTCCTTACCGGCTCGTCGTCTGGAAGCAGGAGTGCAAGCCGACCAGGAAAGGGTTGCTGGATGCCTGCTCAAACACGTGCTTCTCCGTCTGCACCCAGTCGATGTCCTACAACAGCAACCGGGGGGTGAGACTCGGAGCCCAGCGGGTCGCAGAGCAGGCAGCGGGCAGAAGGGCCCGGAGGGGAGGCTGTGCCACCAGGAAAAGCACCACCACGGTGTGCCCCACCGCCCTCCTCTCCACACCCTCACCACCAGCAGCAGCCCTTCCTGTCCGCCTCAGCAGCACCGTCCCCACAACCTGCATTCATTACCATTCCACCACACCCCATATAACAACGACTGTCACCAAAGCCACCGCCACTTTCACCACCACAGAGGCCCCTGCTAGCCACTAGCTTCTGGCTAGCTGGCCATGGCTTTGCGTGGCCTCGAGAGTGTGGAGTAGGGCTGAGCAGGCCCCACAGGCCCATAGCTTCTGCATGGGCAGCGGGGTCACATGCAGCCTCTGTCCCCAGCACTCTGGGCTGGGCTCAGCAGGTGCTGTGGTGCTGAGTGGTCAGAGAGCACTCTGAGTCCTGCTGAGCTGCAGCCATAGGGGGCAGAGCTGGACAAGACTCTAGCACCCAGGGTCACCCCTTGCTGGCGCTGGGAGGTGAGGGGGTAAGCTACGCTCACAGGGTATCTGGGAAGAAAAGCCAACCCTCAGAAAGCATGGCTGAGTGGGGCCGGGGTGTGCCCACCACCCCTCCTGGCCTTCCCCTCCCAACATGTCCTCGAGCCAAATGCCCCTCCAGTTCTGTGGCCTTTGGCTCACCTAGGCTCCTGCTGAGCCTAGTGGGTGGCCACTGCCTCTGTGCCCGCACAGTCCTATGCCTCTCTGACAGACCCTACCACCCATCAGCTGCCCGGGAGAAAAGCAGCTACCATGGGACCTGCGTGTGATCTCTGGCAGGACCAGTGTACCCGGGGACACCTGGCACCAAGTGGGCAGATGCTGCAGGGGGCCGCCAGCAACGCCCCAGGAACCACGGCGGCAGCACAGCGTGGCCAGGACAAAGAGCTGATGGGAAGCCAGCAGCATGAGAGGCCAGTGCAGACGGGAGCACAGACAAGTCCACAGTGTGGCGTTCCCAGTGCAGCAGGGGACCCTGGTGACAGGGCAGCAGGGCAGGGACAAGGACAGGAAGTGGGCTCCGTGTGTGAGCAGGAAAAGTGAAAGGCCTCCTGGGCCTGTCAGCCATGTATAAGGTGCGGGGCGTTGGATCCCCACAGGAGGGGCAGCAGGAGGGGTCTGGAGAGAGCCCGGGGACCACTGAGTGGACACAGCCACACCTGCAGGACACAAGGTCTTTCCAGATCTGCATGCACACGTGCACCCACACACCAGTGCACATGTGTGCATACCTAGCCCCCACCTGCCAATTCTTAGAGCCACTCTTCTCAGGAGCAAACCCGAGCTCCCTCTTGGCCGGGTGGGCGGTTTGAAGGGGCCAAAAAAATAGAGCCAAAGCTCAGGTGAGACTGCGCACCCTTCTCCTCCGGCTCTGCACACCTGACCTGTGCACTCTTCTGACTTTTTGGGTGCCCTAGTGAGCCGGGAAGGGGGTCCTCCTGTGACGCTGCGATCGGCAGGGAGCCTCAGTGTCCTCCACTGTGAACGGCAGACCCCACCCACTCACCAGCTCAGCACCAGGCATGAGGGCCCAGTTTGGCCCAGGCTGTGCTCTGCAGAAATTACCCACTGGGAGGAGAGGCAAGACTTGACTACAGCCTCTGCTGAGCCCTGAGCTGCCTGAGGCTGGGGCAGCCCTCCTGAGGCTCGGGCGGCACCGGGTCACTGGATACCCAAGATCAGGGGACACAGCTGTCTCCAGCTATCTACTGGTCAGCCTTCTCTGCCCGAGAGGAGAGAGGCGCCCTGGATGGGGTGTGTGCACTGCTGGTCACCAGGAGGATCAGAGGCCGCCCAGGTGAGCAGCACACACTCCGGCTGGGAAGGCTTGTATTACACAAAGGAAGCAGCAAGGGCAGGGAGAAGCTGGGAGCCCAGCAGGTCTGGGGAGGAAAAGGAGCAACAGTTTGCAGATGCTCAAGGGTGTGGGGGCAGGAGGAGCCGGGAGGACGGCGAGGAAGGGAAGCAGAGCCTGGGCAGTGTGTCCCAGCTCCCTGGGGGAAGCAGCCCCGGACTGCAAGCTCAGACCAACAGGAGCAAAATGGAAAAACAAACACCAGACTCAGCCCAAGCTGCCCATGAGCCGGCCACTGAGACACACACCAGAAACGTGGAGGCCCACAATGCTCTGAAGCCACTGGCCCCGTGAAGATGGACGCACAGACTCCCGGCCAGGTGCCTGGCAAGCAACGGGGGGTTCCGCCAGGCCAGGGAGTTGGCCACAGGAGGACGCGTGATGCCTGCCACAGAACAGATGACCTGCATGATGCGGCGCTGGGTGACAGACGCAGGCCCAGGGCTGGCCTGGGGCTCCACTCCTGGGTGACTGCACAACAGGTCCGGCACCGGCCCAGACCAGGGTGGTGGCCACCAAAGGCTGGGGCGGAGGGCCTTGACCAACTGCCTGGTGGGCACGGTGACCCGTGGGTGGAGACCGAGTCCTGGACCTAGACAGGCGATGGGCACAGGGCACAGGGCTGCAGGACGTGCTGCAGGATGTGCTTTCAGGCGGTTGAGACCTTGTGTGTCCCGTGGTGCTGGGGCTGGGACTCAAAAAGCACCGAGCGTGCCCTCAGAGCTTTTATTTTGAAACAGCATCCTAAGTTACCCAAGCTGGCCTCAAACTTGTGATCCTCTTGCCTCAGCCTCCCAAGTAGCTGGGATAGCAGGCACCCGCTGCTCTCAGGCTGCGTTTAGGACAACTAAGAGAAACACAGCACCTGGAGGTGGAAGGAGGAGTCCAACCAACAGGCTGCTGCTCCTACTCGTGAGCGTCTCCCGGGATTCTGGGGCTGGCTGGTCCGTGCAGCCCCTCCCAGGTCTTGGCTGGCACGTGATGTTATCCCGCCCGCCAGGAACAGGAGGGCCTGCGAGGCGGACTAGCTCCGGGAACCCAGCGCGCACGCCAGCCGAGGAACGGCCCCGCCCCCGCCCCCCGCGCGCGCACCCCGCCACCCCACCTCGTCATCGTGCACCAGCTCCTTCTTCACCACTTTCATGGCATAGACCTGGTCGTTCTTCTTCAGCCGCACCAGGAGGACCTTGGCGTAGCTCCCGCGCCCGATGACTCTGATGAGGTCGAAATCCTGCAGCCCGAGCCCCTGGGAGATTTTGATCCCGTCGACCCCGTCAATAACCGGTTTTAGGTCCTGGGTGGAGAGCACAGCAGGGGCCGGGCGCTTGCTGGGCTCGGAGCCACGCACCCAGCACTCCGGGCCGCTGGCCGTGCAGCCTGTAGCCAGCGAGGCCACGGTCCTGATGCCCACCCCAAGAGGCCACTAACTCAGCACCGGAGGCCAAGGACAGATGACACATGCCACAAGTGCTGGGACAGCTCTGTGAAGGATGAGGACACCCAGGCCAGCCCAACAGGCCAGAGGAGGCTGTGGCTGCGGTCCCAGTCCATGCCCTAGGCTGGCTGGGTGGGACCTGGAGCCACCTGGGCAGGGCCTCTTTTGGCGAGAAAGAAAGCCTGACTAGCTGGAGTCGCCATCACGAGGACATGTGACAAGAGGGAGTCACTCCAGCCAGGAAGCAGCCAAGGGCATCTGGGGTTCAGCAGGGAGGGGCGGGGGTCCCGTTATCAAGGGCTCTGGAGGATGATGTGGGCAGTCACTGCAGGGACACGTGGGCTTTGAGGTCGAGGGCAGAGGCTGAGGACACAGCGTGTGTGTGCGTGCATGGGCCGAGCCACCCGAGCTGGCCACTCACAGCTGGGAAGGGCTGGTGCGAGGCAAGGAGCTGTGTGGGCAGTGCAAAGAGCATGTGGGGCAGACTGCACGAGGAGGACGTGGCTGGAGCTGCCTGCCATGCTGAGGGCAGGGCCAGGAAGGGCACTGATGTCTCCTAGTGCCCGCCGAGCAGGGCACACGTGGCGCTCACAGCCCCATCACCACCCGGACACGGGCTCACGGGCTCTGACGATGAGGGCTCCGAAGGCCGGCCGAGCCTCTCACATGCTCACCTCAGAATCATCTTTAATGCCGTCATGTTTCCTCGTTGAAGAGATGTAAGCAACTAGTGTAGAAAGAGAAAGGAGAGGGTGTTACAGGCGACACTGGGAGTACGGCCCAAGGACACGGATGTGGCTGCCCAGCCCAGGGCAGCGTTGCTTGGTGCTGGGCCAAGAGCGCTGGGGATCGGGCTCCATGAAGGCCCTGGTCTCAAGGTCAGTGAAAGAAGAAAAATACTGTGTGCCAACGGATGGGGCAGGGTGATGAGCTCACGTCTGTCCATCTTATGGCGGGGTGTGGTTGGCCAGGTGGCTGATGAGCAGGGGTAAATGGTGGACGGGGGGACAGACGGGCGATAAATGAACGAGTGGGAAATGGACAGACATGAAGACAGATGGGCAGATGGTGCCTCCATGGGCGGGTGGATGGGCAGATGAGTGGATGGGAGATGGATGGGCAGGTGAGGACACAGGGCTGGATGGGCGGACAGTGCATGCAGCACAGAAGGTGAGTGCATGGATGGACCAGAAAGCAGAAGGACGGGAATGGATGATGAGCAGGTGGACAGGCAGGCAGGCGGGAGGGGCGGTGTGAGCAGAGGTGTGGCTGGATGACGGGCAGAGGAGTACGTAGGTAATGGGTAGAAGGCGGACGGAGGATGAGTGGCCCATGGGTAGGGCATGATGGATGGATGATGGGCAGATGAATGCATAGGTGGATGGATGGGCAGAAGAAGAGGGGATGGTGAGCGTATGGGTAGATGGGCTGTGGTCGGTCTGTGGGCAGGTAGGCGCTGTTTATCAGGAGTCCTTTGTGTGAGGTGCTATCTAAGTGCATCACATTCTGTGGCCTTGTTTCATCTCTCAAAGCCCCCTAAGGGGACAGACTTGCTATCCAAATGAGATGCAGGACATTCGCACACCTGTGTATGAGTTCCCAAACGTGGGCGTATGGACCTGAGCCAACAGCCGACTCACACTTGAAATTGGTCTCCGAACGCTCCTTAGCACTAAGAACGCACCTCCCCAAGGCCCTGGTAGCTGCCCTGCCTGTGCACGGAGGCCCGCAGACTTTCTCCAGAGCAGCTCCACGCAGCATCCAGGCAGAAGGTGCCAGCCATGGATGCCCACGTTCGTGGATGGGGGCCCTCACTCTCAGGTTCCCAGGGCAGTGCTTTGTGGAGACGTCACAGCCCAGCACTCACCAGGGAAGGCCACCCGTCCCACCTATCCCGCTTAGGACCGACGTGACAGCTGCTGGCCCCGTTCCTGCAGGAGGCACCATGCTCGCCAACACTGACCCCTGGGTGCAGGCACTCAGGAAGGAGGAGGTGGCTTGCGGGCCCCCGGGGCTGGGCTCAGGGGAGAAAGCACCTACTTCCATCCGTGTCCTCGGAGGGAAGGTCCACGCCGTCACTCTTCTCATCTACTGGAGGCTCTTGGGAAGGCATGACAGAATCCTGTGGTGAAACCACAGTGTCAACAGGTGCCACAACACAGCTTCCACAGAAGCCACGTGGCTCTTATGGCCCTGTTCTACAAAGTGTGTGCAACAGCACACTGTGCAGAGCACACTGATGGTTGTGGAATGGGACATGCAGAGAATGCACGCATTGGCCTCAGTTCCGGGGTAGAGGGGACTCCCTAGGCTGTGCCTTCCAGCTCGTACGTGACATTGGCAACCCCACCCTCAGCTGAGGCAGGCTCAGGGCCCCTGCAGCTGCCGGTCAAGGAGATGGTGTCGAGTGGTGGCCTTTTAGGTTCCAAGCCTTGGCCCACCCCTTCTTCTGATGACATCCCTGGGGCTGACCTAATTTTCTTAGGCTAAAGAGGACCTTTGTAGTCAAAGGAAAATGCACTGTCCCCGGCCCTGGCAGACAGAGCAGAGGTCTTCTAGTGACACAGAGGATGCTGGCTCACCAGCACAGGCTGAGCAGGCATCTCTGCGCCTGCACTCCAGCAAGACTGGCCCAGACCCCGTCTGACCCTGCCCTTGCCTGGTAGAGGCGTGAGGCACCCTCCCTTGCACCCCACAAGATGTGGGTGAGCCAGCCCTCCCAGGTGTGGTGACCCTGGGATGGGACTATTTAGCATCTGTCCAGGTGGCTCCCAAGGTCCAACGAGGCGGCAGGAAGCACGAATGCTGGGAAAGCTCGTGCCGCAGCACTTGGGCTCCTTAACGCAAATGCTCACAATGGTGGCTGCAGGGCGCAGCCCTCAGGGTGACCAAGACCTCCCAGGAACCCAGGGTCCTGGCACGGACCCTGCCCGGTCCCTGCTGTGGCCTGGAGGCAGCCCAGCAGGGCGTCAAGCAGGACTCACCATATGCCTTCTACAGGTCAGCGGGACGAGCACGTGGCAGCGTTTATGGACCAGCAGCTTGCAGTTGATGCACCTGTAGCCCTGCCGTGCGAGGCCCCATATCCTTTCGCTGCACTGGCCGCAGTATGCCCGCTGCGGGGGAGGCAGGTGGAGGCTGCTGTCACCTGGGCAAGGACTCCTGGGGCCACCTGGCAGGGCCCAGCCGAACCCACTCACAGTGAGGGGCAGGGTGTCTGACCCTGCCGCCAGCTCAGGGGCAGCTGGGCAGCCGTGGAGCGACTGCCAGGTCCACCGGGGACCACCTGGACCACCTGGAAGCTGTGGGAGGGAGCTGGCCCGCTCTGGGGCGTCCCGTCCCTTTTCCTTCTGGTCACTGTGATCTGCTTGATGGTGACATTTTCACGAATTCTTGTATTTTACAGAATGCAAGAGAGCATTTTCTGAACGTGTATAGGCCCCTTTGTGGTTCCACAGCACCCGTGTCCTCGGCAGGCATGTGCTCTCCAGCTCCCACCCGGGACCTCCTAGCTGCAGCTCTCGTGGGGGCCTCGCCTCCCTCATACTCCCAACACAGCGCTCTCTCGGCCAGCAGCAGGTCACCCAATTTAAGAATAAGGAGAGCCCAGTAGCCTGAACTAACTCACTGAGACAACAAACTGGATCCCCCCAGCAGGGGCCGTGGGGGAGGGCAGGCCACAGGACCACCATCAAGGCCAGGGCCCAGGACGGGGTGGGGCTGATCGGTGCTGTCGGGGTCAGAAAGTGCGGGCGTGCATATATGTGCGCATGCACCACTGCTTTGATGTATTTGTTGTTTATTTATTTACTTTTGTGGTACTGGGGCTGGAACTCTGGACCTTGTGCTTGCCAGGCAGTATTTTTTTTTTTTTTTAATTTTATTCATTCATTTGTGTGTGTGTGTGTGTGTGTGTGTGTGTGGCCAGCTCAGCCCACCAGGGGGCGGGGCTGGCTGGCATGTGGTGCTGGGGGATTGAACCGTGGTCCCTTTGCTTTGCTAAGCTTGTTCTAAGTAGGTGCTTTAGACCACTGAGCCATCTCACCAGCCCGCCAGGCAGTATTTTTATTTTTACTTTTTGTGCACTGCTTTTAACTTTAAAGTAATTTATTCCAAGTCGTTGCACCTTCCTAAATTATCTCTCCCACAAACAAATCAAGCTAGATCTGCAGAGGCACCTGAACAGCCAGAAGGTCAGTGCTGGGGTACAAGGGATAGATGGGCGGCCTGCGCCTGGCAAGCTTGGGGCTGGGGCGTGGGCTCTCCAGAGGCAAGGCGGGGGACTCCTGACCCTGCACCCCAGGGTGGCCCTCCAAACATGGGGCTCGAATCCATCTTCTGTGTGTATAGCCCCGAAGAACCCCAGTTGCTATTTACGCAGCTATTTATTAAAAAGCTGAGTTTGTGTCTCGTGCACCGAATGTGCACAGCCTCCCCTCATTACCACTAGTGCTGTAATCTGCCATGCTGGGGTCACATTTGGGGACACATTCACAGCCACCAGGTATCCCAAACATTAACGAGGACTCCTTCCGTTGCAGAGCCACCGTCCCAGGCCAGGCCAGGCCAGGCCAACACTGGCCACGGCTGGTGAATCTGCCCGTGGCTGTCCCACAGGAGCCTGCACCTGTTCAGCTAGGGAGAGCCCAGAACCCAGCCCACAACTCTGCACATCAGAGCCACCCTGAGTCACTAATATCCCAGAAACCGTGTCATTAAGAAGTAAAGGGAGGGGGCCGGGGAGATGGCTCAGTGGAATAAGCGTTTCCCTGGCAAGCTCAAGGGTCTGAGTTCAATCCCCGGTTCCGAAAAAAAAAAAAAAAAAAAAAAAAAAGCAAAAAGACCTAAGCCCCTAGTTCTATTCTCAGAAATTCATGTCAATTAATAGACTAATGGGATAAAAATACTCTAAAGTCTGTCTTGCATGCTGCCAGTTTGTTCCTTGCTCTTATTTTCAATAATCTATTTTAGTTTTTAAACACATTACGACTTTTCAAACACGCAGCCCATCTGCGCCTTCTGTCGGAGCTCTTGATGCCGGGTGCTCAGCACGCCCCGTGGTTCTGATAGGAGCTCGGGGTCCCTACTCATCTCTCCTGGGAAGTCTTCAAGCTGGGTTTGGAGTGGAACTGGTTTGCAGCTGCCAGTTACGTGGGGTGCCGCCAGGCCAAACCCATGCACTGGGTACAAAGGGGGGCTACTGGCCTGAGAAGCCCCGCTCAATGGTTAAGCTCTCAGGAGGAGCAGGTCCCCCTTCCTTTCCCGGAAGGGGCACTGGCAGCCTCTGCTCATACCTCCACGGAGTTAAGACTTAGCAACCACAAGGCCATTGGTGGCTGGGAGCCCCCTCCTGTCCTACATGGCCTTGATCATCTCAGCAAAGGGTGACTCCAAGCTTCTGGTCAGGAAGGTCAGACCCAGCCTACCCAATCTGTGTGCTGGGGCATCCCTGGCACGGCTACGCCCACCTGTCGGCCCCAAGGGCAGCCGTGCATGGCTACAGGAGAGGCCTCTGGCCAGACTTTTTTTTTTAAGGGAAGGGTCTACAGGGTGTTCAGGGTCCTACTACTACATCGGATTCATAGAAATCCGCCTGTTTACAGCCTCCCAAGAGCTGGGATTACAGGCGCGCGCCACCACGCCCAGTCTCAATTGCTGTCTCAGCACACGGGGGTGGGGGTGGGGGTGGGGGTGGGGGCAGGGCAGGCTGGGAGTTCCGGCCCCTGCACCTGCTTGCAAGTGCTTTAACCCGCTGAGCTATTTGGCTGTCTAGCCAGATCTTAATTCCCTCCTGAGCAGGAAACGCTTGCTCATCAGTTTTAGCTCCTTAGACCACAGAGCTCAGGAGAAGCCCTGGTGGCTGCCCAGGCGCCCTCTGTGAATGTCCCCTGCACCAGCTCGGCTTGGTCCTTGGACAGCCCAGCTGGCCCTGTGGCTGGAGTGACCAGCATGGTCCAGCAGGGGGACTCTGACTGTGGTTCTGCAAACCCCTCCCTCCTGGCGGTTGCCGAATTCCTCCCCAGTCCTCTCAGTTTCTCAGGAGTTGGATCTCTGACCCCATCCCACCAGCTCCTGGGGTGGGGGAGAGGGCAGCGCCACAGGTGTCGCTGGTGACCAACAGGAACAGCACAAACCGGCAGACCGGCTGAGGTTCAAGGAGCAGCGTCACCGTGGGTGACCTGGTGCTACTCTAGACGGGCAGGGGCAATGATGAGGTTGTGGGTGTGAAGCCCACTTGGCAGAGAAGGTGGGCGTGCGAGGGTAGCCACCCCGCACTAGCCCTTTTCCACAGGCCTCCAGCCCGGGCATCCCGAGTGTATGGTAGGGAGACAAGCATCAAGTGCGGAGGGACGCCACTCCTGAGGGGATCCGGGATCAGGCGCTCCCTCACCACAGTAACATTGGGTCACCTTCGTGCTAGAGATGAGTCACCCGTGGTGAAGAGAAACAAGAACCACTATGTGAAATGTCCCCAGGAAGGACAAGCGTGTGGGGTGCCCTGGGGATTCAGAGATCAGGGAACCCCCACCTCCTGGACACGAGCAGGCCGGAGCCCGAGTCCCAGATGGCGGTCCAGGGTCACAGAACCTGGATGGCCGAGGGACGTTGAAGAGACAGCCAGCCAGGGCCCAAGGGGCCGCGAAGGCTTGGGGCAGCCCGCAGTACGGCTGGTGCGTGCTCGTGTGCACCTGCCTGCGCGCGCTCGCGATGGCGCGCGGGTGGGGAGAGGGAAGGAAGGCCCGCAAGCGCTGAGCCTGCTCTGCCCCGACGGGCCACTCACCCTGTTAAAGCGCTTGGCTTGGAAGAGGTGGCCGTTGGCACGGTACAGCTTCCTCCATCTTCTGGCCCCGCGGCGGTAGATGGACTCTGTGGAAGACACGAGGGCGGTGAAGCTGCGGCAGGCCGGCCCCGCGGCCCCTCCTCAGGGAGGTCATGCCCTGGCGGCCCAGGGGAGAAGCTCGGGCGCAGACCCGGCGGCGGGGTGCGGGCGGAGGGCCGGCATCGAGGCCCAGGACCTGCGGTCCGGTGCGCGTGCACCCCGCCGGCCGGCCGGTTTCCTGCTGCCTCCTCTGGGGCGGCACTGTGCACCCCAGGCCCTTTTCCTGAGCAGGGTCATGGCTCAAAGGAGCCGGTGTTTGCGGCTGGGCGCCGGGGGCCAGGCGAGGGAGCGGGCCTGGCGTTGCGTCCTGGCCAACTCCGGCAGGAAAGCCAGGGCCGCCGGGCACTTTATTCTGAATCGCCGCTGGCCAAAGCCCATTCCGTGGCGTGTATTCAACAGCTCACCCTGGTGGGGAGAGCACGGCAGACCACAGTGCCAGCAAGGGCAGCCCACAACCGCTGTCTCCGCTCCGACTCTGCCGCAGGAGCGCTTTGAAACACTTGGACCCGGAAACAAAACCTTCAGAAATACAACGCACAATGAGGAGCTTTGTGCTTTTATAAAATTCTCAAGCAAAAGCGACTTTCATGAGGCGAGCAAAAGTGCCTCGGATATACTAAAGTGGAAATTTTAACGGAATGTTTTTAAAACAAGCAAATGACCAGCTCTGGCTGGAAACAGGCAAAATCAGGTCACAGGGACCATAAAAGCTGCTTCTCTCCCTCGAAGCAGGAGGTTCAGTGATAGTCAAGAAGTTGGGGTTTCTCTGGAAGCTGGGAGGACACAGGCCCATGGCCGGACTGCTTGGTCACTGAGCCCTGGGGAGCCCTGCATGTGGCTTCCAAGGTCCTTGAATCGTGGCCAGAGTTTGCAGTGGCCGAGTGTCTCCTGGAGATGGCTGAAGGCCCCTGCCCAGGTGAGGCATCAGACAGCATCAGCCCAGGCCACAGGGGCAAGTGCCACTGCCAGGAACAGCAGGACACAGTCCATCTGCCTGCAGCTCTGCGACCCCATGGGCCCTCTGTGTGTCCAGGGGGACAAGGCATGCCCCTAGCAGAAGCCTGGCCCAGGTGAGGCCCCTGTCCCACACCCACCAGCCTGATGTTCTCTACACAGCACTCATTCTGTCCCTTCATCCCAAAGGAGCCACTGGCACGGAGGTGTGACAGCGAGGGCTGAGCAAGTGAAATGGAGACAAATGGCCCATGCTGCGGCTCCTCTGCCCCGCCGTCGCATTCAACTTTACCCTTGGAGTGCACTGCAAGTCTCAGAACTGAGGAGGTCAGAAGTCACGGCCAGCAGGAAGCCCACAGGATGGATGGGCAGGGCCACTGGGGCTCGCAGAGCCAGGGTGACCAGGATTGTACCCCAGCCCCAGCACTGGACTGGGCTTCCAAATATGTATCGTGAGCCCACCTGTGAGTGGCACTGTGCCAGAAAATGGCTCTGAGGGCGAGAACGCAGACCGCGGAGCAGGGCAGTCCGCTGCCTGGGGTCCAGAGGCGGTGCTGTCCCCAGCACCCTACGTGCCGGCTCCCAGCTCCGGGTGTTTGAGCTGCCCAGGCTGTAGATTCCACCAAGCAGCCTGGGTGGACCAGGACACACGCCTGACACCACAGGCAGATCGGGCCCCTCAGAAAGGAAGGATTTGAGGGAGCTGAAAAACGATAAAATGATTTTCTCTTTTTAGAAAATCATCTCAAAAGGAAGCCATTCTCCCTCTTTTAGTGCAAGATCATGACACAGACAGGAAACCCTGGCAACCAAAGACAGGAGTCACAAGCTCAAGGTGAACACATCTGAGCACGTGTACCCGGGCTCAGCAACTGGCCCCCCACAGGGGACAACCGTTTAGCAACTCAGGGTGCTAGAGGATGCCTGTCAGTCAACAAGAAGAAAGAATGGACAAGTGGAACCAAAACAGGGACAGCCCTTCACAGAGAACAGGGCGAACGTGCCAGGTGGCTCCACCGCAGGACAACTGTGAAATGCACGGCCCGGAGGGCCTCCTGCTGCCCCTTCTCAAGTGGAGGGTACAGGGGCGGTGCTACTGGGCAGGAGCGAAGTCACACAGGGAGTGGGGCAGGCACTCGGGGCCGTTCTCCAGGGAGAATCTGTGCAGGTGCTCACAGTGCCAAGAGGCCTGAAGACCCGAGGTCTGCGGCTGGGAGAACGCAGTGCCACCTCTCAAACATGAAAAGCCCAGCCACCTGGAGTCACTGTCCTACACGTGCCAAGCAAAGTGCACCTTTTACGCTCAGTCGCTTGGCGGAACTGTGTGGTGAGCGCGACACAAGTTCCAAGTCAGGAGCTGGCCTTGGGGGAACGGACAGCACACAGGAATGGACCTGGCTCAGCCCCCTGCCATGGGTGTGAGGGCCTCGTGTCTGTGACCCCGATGCCTTGGGAGGAGCGTGGGTTACTGCCCTCCACTAGGGGTAGGTGCCACCCGTGGTAGGGCTCAGGTTAGGCAGGCACTGCCCTGCCCAGCTACTGCCTGGGCACAGAACATGCCAAACGTGAAGACCAGTGAGGAGGGGCCACATCCCTTCTGATGAATGGCAGAGGCCCAGGAACCCCAGGCTTTCCTGAGGTGGGGGTACTGCCAATCCAAGCACACTTGTCAGCACAGCCCTGTCACCTGTGCATTTGGGTGCCAAGATGTGACCTCATGGAGCAATCTTACGGGTCAGCTCGACAGGCTGTGGCCCCAAACACTGGCTTGAACACTCCTCCAGAAGTTTCAGTGAGAGTGCTGAGGATGACATGACCAGGAAAGCCATGGGCTCTTGGGTAAAGCTGGGGTTCCTTAGGGTGGGGAGCCCCATCTAATCGGCCAGAGGCCTGACAGAGACAAGGTGGTCTCCCCTGCACAGTGCACACCCCTGGTGTCCCCTGAAGGCCCGGCCTATTCTTCCACGACTGAGAGGTGCCTGCTTCAGGACAGCGTTCTCTCTGGTGCGCCAGCTGGCTCTGGGCCGCTAAGCATGCTCTGGCATACAGGGTTTTCCACCTCCCTGCCCAGGGCTCAGCTCCCAGAAAGCTTGGCGGAGCCCCTTGCAGCAGGCACCTGGGATGTCCCATGCCCCACGTGAGGAGCCACAGCAACAGAGGCACTCATGCTGGACGTTACCACCGTGAGGGTCTACTGACCCTGGCTGACGCTCCTGCGTCTGCTCAGTACCGTCTCCTCCCTGCAAACCATCTGCTGGAACAGGCCCAGGTCTGTGGAGAGCTGCAGCAGAGCAGGGCATCATAGGCTGCCTGCCACCACACGGCAGGGCCAGCCCTGCCTTCACTTCAAGACATCCCAGCCCCACCTGACCTTCAGTTGTCACATCCTCTGGCTCCCCGGGTGGGGCAGTCCCCAGATAGCCCTGTCCTCAACTCCATAGGTTTGAGGGAGTTTTTGGGTGTCCGCCAGCTTGGCCTCCTTGCCTCTGAATCAGATGAGCACACGGATTTCTGCCCCAAGTGCTGGTATATAACTGTAATCCCAGAACCTGGGCTGAGGCTCAGGAGGACTGATGGAAGTTTGAGGCCCCCCTGGGCTACATAGTGGGACCTTGTGTCAAAAAAGTTCAAAATAAAAACCAAAACACCTTCTCCCCCTGAAACCTGGCCTTCCCTTAGGGCTGCAATTGGCAAAAACTAGAAGCTGGGGGCTGGAGAGATGGCTCAGTGGTCTAAAGCACCTACTTGGAACAAGCTTGGCAAAGCACAGGGACCGCGGTTCGATCCCCCAGCACCACATGCCAGCCAGCCCCGCCCCCTGGTGGGCTGAGCTGGCCACACACACACACAATAAATAAATTAATAAATAAAATAAATAAATAATTAAAAAAAATTAAAAAACAAAACAAAACAAAACTAGAAGCTGGCAAACCACACAATTTGCTGGAGCCTCTGAGTGCAGGGTGGCAGAGACTCGGGGTCCTTGTGGTTTTCTGGGCCTGTGAGCTGGGACAGTGGGCTGAGTGGGCACCGAGCACCCATCCCACACCCATGCCAACCCATGGGGACCCGGCTGCCCATTCCTGCGCAGGCCAGCCATGCCTTGAGGTTTGGCCTGCAAAGTGACAGCCCTGCTTCTGACCTGAGCTACAATCACACAAAATAGCAAGGGGTGCACTGGGCCTCTAGAGACAGCCTGGGCTCCTTGCTGTGACCCAGGACAGGCTGCTTGTCCATGTGGTCACCTGGCCCTCTCAGTGGAGGGAGACATCTGCAGAAAACAGCAGACTCAGAAGCTGGGCGTTAATCCCAGCACTGGGGGGCGGGGGGGCAGGGAGGCAACTCAGCAACTTTGTAAAATCGTATCTCAAGATAAATTAAGAAAGGGAGCTGGGATGTATGTAGCTTAGTGCAAAGGCCTGGCTCCCGCTTCCCCACAGAAGAAAGAAAATGGGCAAGCAGCAACGGGGGCTGGCAAGAGGGCCTGGCGGCTGCCGCCGTGCACAGGGTGTCAGGTCAGGACCTCCGCCCGCCCGAGCGTCAGGCTGGGATTTGGGAGGGATGAGGAGGGGCCAGCTCAGGGCCACGTGGCTGCCACCCCCACCCCCACCCCCGGGGCCCCGCGTGGTGAACTAGCTGCGGGGGCTGCTGCTTTCTCTTGCAGCCTTAACTGACAACCTCGAGCTCATTCCTTGCCTTTGAGGTTCTATAATTAGGCCGGTTGCAGGATTTTAACAAGCCCCATTTCCATGGCAATCTAGCACCCTGAGCACTCTGACGCGGCGCACAGGAAAAAAACACATTTAAAAAGCCAAGCTCCAAGCAACAGGCTGTGAAACCACCAACGCCATCCTCCCGGATGGGTGGAGGCGCAGGGTGGCACGGAGCTTGGGCCGGGCCAGGCCACGGGGGCCCCGAGCGTCTTCTGAGGCTCTGGACATGGCCCAGCTGGCCACGTGATGAGCACAGGGCCCTGCAGTGCCCAGACAGGTGCGCGCCGGTTGCACCCCCTGTAGACAGCAGGGCTGCTGCA